TATTCCACTTTTGGAATCTGGAACTTAGTAGTACTAGGTACTTATGAGCTTCATAAAACCACCAGTACTTCTTCCCACATTCTGAATCATAGCTCAGACTTTAGAACTTCATAAAATGTGTTTTTATGCTGTCCTTTGAATTCAGTTTTGTCACTTTATCAGCATAGAGTATGTATGTGTGTGTATGCATATATGTAGAGAGAGAGAGTCAAAAGAAATAATCTAACTAGCATGTTAAATATACATACTCATAAAACATTTAATTAGTATTAAAGATGAGTTGATAAGAATTTTGTTCATCATTTACAGTTTTATTACTATAACTGGGCAAGGCCATATCTTAAAAATCCATGTCTTAGTTAATGGTTATTAATAACAATATTCCTATCATTCATCATGTAATAGGAAAACATAAAATTCAAATATACACTATGAAGCAGAATCTTATTTTAAGGAAGGTTGATATATTTTTGTTTCCTTTATGAATAATTCCTCATAATTAAAGGCTAATTATTAATGATGCCCCAGAAAAAGGCAGCTCATTGCTAGCAAAATGCTAAGGAAAGAAATATCAATCTCAAATCAGAGTACATTTCCAGATGGTCAAAAAGCCAGGAAATCAGAACCCTCATGCATTGTTAGTGGGAATGGAAAATGGTGTAGCCACCTCTGAACAGTTTGGCAATTTCTCATAAAGTTACACATACAACCCCTTTCACTCCTAGTTATCTCAAGAGAAATTAAAATGTATGTCCAGGGGCTGGAGACATGGCTCAGTGTTAGAGCACTTGCCTAGCATTCACGAAGTCTTCAATACCAAGTCTGAAAATAAATAAATAGATAGACAGAAAAAATAAATAAAAACTTCAAAGACTTGCACATGAATGTTTCATAGCAACATTACTCTTTAGAGCCTCAAACTAGAAATAATTAAAATATTCATTAACAAATGAATGAGTAGACCACATACACACACAAAAATTCCATGCCATGGAATGCTATTCAGCAACATAAAGGGATGAATTACTGACATATGCTGGTCATGTATGAAACTCAGAAACATTATGCTAAGTGTAAGAAGATGAAAGTGGACACTCTGTGGTGGCCTCTCATAGACCAGACTCTGCTTGCTCACTCATCTTGCTCCGCTTGCTCAGCAAGCATGTCTGACAAATCCCATATGGCTAAAAAGGAGCAATTCAGTAACTCAAAATGGAAAAGATAAATACGAGAAAAATCCTCCACCTTTCAAAGAAATGATTGAACAGGAGAAGCAAGCAGACAAATCATAAAGAGGTATACATGGCCAATATGCACTGTACATTCCAAGCAGTAACTTCTTATTTTACTTTCTTTAGCTGTTTACCTTTGTAAGATGCAAACAGGTTGAATCCAGTTTAAATGACTATGCTACCCCTTTTATGTCAAGAACTACTAGCAAATAATCCCAGCTCTTGCCTCTTCCATCTGCAGGTCCAGCTAGCAGGGAAAAAAAGAACTGGCTAGGTGGGAGGACAGTGAAATCTAGAGTAGAATCTATGCTAACCCAAGGTGTTCTGCAGACTATAAATACAGTTTAACAGGACCCATTTTCCTGTCATAACCCACGATTTTTACTAAAAATAATAAACAATTGTTTTTTTTAAAAAAAAAAAGAAGAAAAAAAAAGACCATATATCACATGATTTCATTTATTTTAAATGTCTGAAAAAAGCAAATTTACAGAGACAGAATGTATATTGGTAGTTGCTCGGAGACAGAACAGATTAGCTGCAGATGGCCAAGAGGAATCCTGAGGGATGAAAATGTTCTAAAACTGATTTATGGTGATGATTGCACCACTTGGTAAAATTACTAAAAATCGTCATCAACTTGGATGAATTTCATGACGTGTAAAATTTATCTCAATTTAATAGTGGGTTTTTGTTAAGAGTCAGAAAACAATAGAGCTGCAAGGATTCACACGCTTGTATAGATGAAGAAAGCAAAGACCAAAGAGGTTATGAGCAATTTGTTTAAAGATCTCCTACTTAGATCACAGCAAAACCAAAACAGGGAAAAAAAATCAAAATCTAGCCTCACTCTCCTACCCATTGTGTTATATCTACTGAAACCACTCAAGGAATTTTTTAAGACTATAATAATTACACAGAATTGATAGGTGTTTTAGAAGCATCAAGATTTGAGAATCAACAACTATAACTGCTTAAAATTTATAAACCATTAATAAATACATTATATATATATATAAAATATTCTTCAGAAAGAGCTAAGAAAATTCACTTATCATCCTCCAAAGCCATAAAAACTTGCTTTCAAAATGACTGACAAAAAAAAAAGAGACAATTACACATTTTTTTTCTGCTTTTCCAAAAGGAGCTAATATTTCAGGGTAAATAAATGATCCTAGTGTATGAAAGAAAGCATCTGCAGAACAAAAATTAATAAATGTAGATGGAATGAAAGAATGCAAAATTGTCATTTTATAACCCCTAATAAAAATTATTCAGGCAAGAATTATGAATTACTATCAAACCCATTCAGTGAATGGTTGATGGGAGAATTGGACATTTGTAGGAAACAAAAATCACACTGCACAGGTTAGTCTTTTTGAAGGAAGGAAAAAATACCACAGAACTTTACATGGAAGATCAAGATATCATCAGCCTAATCCACAAATAGTCATTGTAAAACTATTTTTGATTGTTCAAATAAATGTGATTTCATGTGAAGTACTCAACATCACATAAAGGCTAAAGTCTTTATTAATTTGCATATTTATAAGAAATACAGGAAATAGAGGTGAAATTTGAACACCAAAAGAAAGTAGTCAAGTACAGAAGGTAAAATATTCCATCTCAGGCAATTAACCTGGTCTTTTTAAAAAATCAGTTTAAAAACAAGTGGGGGGCGGGGGGGGGAGGTGCTGGGGTTGTGGCTCAGTGGCAGAGTGCTTGCCTCAAAGATAAATAAACTTAAAGAAAAAAGATCTCCCAAGAATAAAACAATTTAAAAAAATTGTGGGAATTGTGAACACTGACAATCAAAAGACTAAACCAGCGCATGCCTGTAATTCCAGCCAGTGGGGAAGCTGAAGCAGGAGGATCAGGAGGATCACAAATTGAACACCAGCCTAAGCAATTTAGTGAGTTTGCTAAGCAACTCAGTGAGACCCTGTCTCTAAAGAAAATACAAAAATGAGCTGGGAATGTGTGCTCCTGAGTTCTGAGTTCAATCCCAGGTACCCGCCTCCCCCCCAAAAAACTTTTAATTTTTAGATTAAAAGAAACGATATAGACAACCAAATATAAAGGTGGTCTTTAATTGGATCCTGGTTGGGAGAAAGCAGCTTTAACAGACAATCGGAAAATAACTCCAAATTTGTATAAGGAATATTAGACAATACTGAAATTTTGCCAAGTGTGAGGTTATTTTTTTATTATTTTTTTTTAGAGAGAATTTTAATATTTATTCTTTAGTTTTCGGCGGACACAACATCTTTGTTTGCATGTGGTGCTGAGGATAGAACCTGGGCCACACGCATGCCAGGTGAGCACGCTACCGCTTGAGCCACATCCTCAGCCCATGAGGTTATTCTTTTTATACAGGAATATGTTTCATAGACATACAATGAACTAACTAAAATATCTAGATGTCTAAAGGTCACTTCAAAATACTTCAAAGAATTAAATTTAAAATCCAAGCCTTAACTTCCTAATTCACTGCTGTTACCACTAAATGCTTGTTAAATATTCATAAAATATAACTACACAGAACTCTTGCACGCAAGAGTTGAAAAGTGACCTACAGGATTCCTTTAAAAAAAGAAAAATAGGCACTGTGAAGAAAACTCTGAGGTACAACATAATACTGTTGACAACCCAATGAGTCATGAACAGAGAGCTTTGCCCAAAAAGGGCTAAAAACATCTAGCTTTCTTAGCGTATAGAGCAGGAAAATGTAGCTGTTTCAAAATCACAGGTAACGCTTGGAGGCGGATGTGGCTGTCCTAATTGAACAGGCAGCCCCCACCCAGAGCAAACCTCAATTATTACACAAAATCACTTAATCCTTTCTGACTTCACTGCCCCTTTTCAACCAGTCATGTAACTCTCAAGTTGTGGTGCAGTTAGGGGACAGTATTTCAAAGACTCCTCTCCTTGGACTGGAGATATGGCTCAGTTGGTAGAGTGCTTGCCTTTCATGCACGAGGTCCTGGGTTCAATCCCAGCACCACCAAAGAAAAGGAAAAAAAAAAAAAACTCAAGGGTGCCAAGCTGAAGAAAGCCACTATACTATCATCCCAAATTTTTCAAAGGGGGCCTTCAAATCTCAGTAGCAGGAACTGGGGCCCTTCCTCAGGCCCTGGAGAACAGACAGATCCCAGATTCATTTGCCACTTTTTTCTCCCCCTATAAAACCATAGGGTGGCGCTATCCTCGCTCCTTCCCTACACTGGGGGCGCGGAGAAATCCACCTGTGCAGTCCGAGTGACGGAGGTCCTCCTAGGGCCTCCTATAGGCTTCGTGGCCGCCGGGCCCACCAAGGCCCTGCCCCGCCCCGCGCCTCTCCTCTTCGGACACCTCCTGTGCAGGTTAGCCTGCAAGTCCCCCTGCTTCTCTTCAGCAATGCAATCTCAGAAATTCTTAATATTCTGGCAAGTGGGACCACTGAAAGAGACCCTGAAAGTGGGCACTTTGGCTCAAAAGTCCGCAGCCCAGCAAGTAAGAAACGTGCAAAAAGAAGTCTCAAGATCTCTAGCACTCAGCCCAAGTTCTACCGCCTCGAGAATCTGAGTGTCCCGATTTCCAGCACCCAGTCCGGGCCCCGCCCCCTCAATGCCCCTGGCTTCCGTGCGTCAAGAGTCACGTGCCGCGTCTCCCTTTCCCTACCGGCAACCCGGCGCATCCTCATTCCGGAAGTCGCGCTCATTCGCACCGGGCTCCTCCCACCATGGGTGACGTCAAACTCAGTTCCTACCACTGCCCAGCCTCCGCCTCCAGGCGCGGGGAGGGCTGTCGTTTCCTTACGGTAAGCCCAGCTACTTCCGGGCCCCTAGACAGTACGAGCGAGGGTTTTGAAGTTACAGACTGGGCAGGCCTTGGACGCGCGTGAGTACAGTTTGAAAGGCCTACGACTTGCTATTTGCAGGCCACCTACGTAGGGGCCTTTCCCCCTCTCCGCAACTTGTACTCCACTTGGTTCCGCCGAGACCCACGACGGTTCCGCCCCCTTCTTCCTTGTCATTGATGTTGTTGTTCTTGTCAGTGCCGCAGCCCCGACCGCCGGGAGCTCGAACCCGAGCCGGGGCCGCCCGAGTGGCGCGGTGGCGGCGGCGGCGGCAGCGGCTGCGGCTGCAGCAGCTGCGACGGCTGCGGGGGCTGCTCCGGGGACTGCGGGGGCGGCCGGGAGCCGACAGCCGGCGGCGGGGCCGAATGGCTCTGTGCGGGCAGGCAGCGGGCGCCGCGTCGCTACCCAGCGAGCTGATCGTGCATATCTTCTCCTTCTTGCCCGCGCCGGACCGGCTGCGGGCCTCGGCTTCCTGCTCGCACTGGCGGGAGTGCCTCTTCTACCCGGCTCTGTGGCCTCAGCTCCGCATCTGCCTCCGCGTCTCGCCCGCGGAGCAGCCCCGGCTGGAATTCCTCATGCGCAAGTGCGGCTGGTTCGTGCGAGAGTTGCGCGTTGAGTTCGCCGCGGAGAACTACCTGAGCGGAGGCGGCGGCCCTGGCGACGGAGGTGGCGCGGACTCGGGGACTGGAGGGGAAGAAGTCGAGGGCCTGCAGCTCTCCACCCGTTGGCTGGAAGTGCTGCGCACCTACTTGGAGCTGGTGCTGTGCGTGCTGGTCAGCATCCGGAACAACAGGTAGGTTTCTGGTGGGCCCAGTCCCCGCTCCCGACTGGCGACGAGCCCCCTTCCCTTCTCCCCGAAATAGATTCTGTGGGACGCGCCAAGCTCGCCTCAGCCTTGCTTGTTTCAGTGAAGATGTCGGTTCTAACAGGACGATTTCTTAAGGCAAGAGGACATAATGGGACACTTTACAGCTATGGACTCAAGTGTTTTTCAGACACCACTCCAGGCACTGTCTCATTCATCCTCTTGGTGGAGGTGGGATGAAGCTGACAGGAGCTATCATTCTTCATTTCATACATGAGAGAGTCAGACTTGGAGGGTAAGGCCTGTGAGAGAAACAAAACATAACCCGATTTTCAGACACTGAACCTTACCATTGGAAGTAGATGATGGTAGAGAAGGAGTAATGGTGCTACTGGTGTTCCATAGTTACAGAGTCCTTCTAAAAGAAGTTTTTAACAGTCATTTTTTTTTTTTACCTGGAATTGTTCAAATAGGCTGGACCAGATCCAAAGAGAAGGAGGAATGGAGTGTTCGTTGAAAGTATTGGGGGAGAGGTGATTGTCAGAATTGGACGTCTACCCCCCTCAGCGCCCTCCACCCCCACCCCCCCTCCCGCAGTGCACCTCCAGACTGAACTTGTCCCCAGTGATTCACCTAAGCCTAACACAGTATAGTTTGGGGGTGGGGATGGGGGTGCCATGGCCAGCCCATGTCTACAATGGATAAGCATGAAACTCTTCTGGGTTTGCAACAGGACTTTACTATAATTCTGCAACTTACTCCCCCTGTTCTAACTCAGTATCCTGATCGTAAATTTATTTCTCTTTCACCCTTTCCAAACCCTATTAGTTTGTATTTCCTACGTTTGAATATTTTGATCTTAAACCTCTTTTAAGTTGAAAGTTCAAAAGTTCAGGGGAAAAAAAGAGAACCTTACATAGTAATAATGGTTTAGTACTTTCAAATTCATTTCCTATTTGAGCCTCTCACTAACCCTATGAGTCAGGGTTTGATTGTTATCCCGTTTTATAGAAACGAAACTGATGCTTTACAATGTCAAGTGGTATACACATTGTCATGCAGCATTATTTTTCTACCAAGAATCACATTCTTCCTTTTGCAATAAACACACTGCCAGCATTTGTGCTAAAGACGATTGAGAGCAGACCTTGGTTAATTGTGAATTTATATAAATATTATAGGTACATAGATATTTCCATAATTCTGTGTCCAGATCAGAAGTCAAGAGATAAGCATTATAACACCAAGTTGTATCTGGAGCATGGCTCTATTATTCCAGTGGCCTGTGTATTTCCACAGCTTTTTACATGAAGACATTCCATTTACTTACTTTGATTTTACTGTGCAAGAGAGTCTGTTAAGTATTATTAGGCTGTTGGTATTGATTAAGTTGGAGATTCTTTCTCAGAGTTGTATGTGTAAGCTAGAGGACCAACTGACCCAGAAGTTGAAAGACTCAAACTCACTGATGAAACCAAGATTGGAGTTTTAGTCTGTTCTGAAATCATATAGCCCTTCTGCGCAACCATCCAAAAAAAAAATGTGTGACTTTGGTCAAAGTAAAAACTAACATTTTACAGTGCCTACTTTCTTTTCAGCATTTTAATAACTGTTTGGACATATGGATGGATGAATAACATTATGTAGGCAAATAATGGCATATCACATCTTCCCTTTGTTGTTTAATTCTCCTGACCTCTTCCTCACCCCTACTACTTTTATTAGCATCCCAATCTACTTGTCTGTAAGGCCACCTATGCTTGCTCTTATATGTCAGCAGTCACCTGTATACAAATACAGAAGACTGTCATCCTGATTTTAAGATTTTCTTGTTGTCTACTATAGGAATGGAGCTACCTACATGTGATGCTGCTTTGGTAGCATATTCATGTATGTGTTTGAAATTAAACTAGTATAATTGTATTATTTGTACTAAGGATATTTCAAAGAGTTTTTTATTGCATTTAATTTTACATAATAATGGGATTCATTGTGATGAATGTGATGAATGTCATATTTATAACATGCACATAACAATTTGGTCAAAGAGTTTTTAAAAATAAGTTTATAAATTTAGGTATAAGTTATGCCTTTTATGTTTGAAAATGTCTTGTTGCTCTAGTAATACTGGAAGTATTAATCAAGCTATCAAAAATATAGACATAACTGGTTTCCTTTAAGTTTTAACAAATCTGAAAATGTTTTAAATCAAATTGTTATTTAGTAAATCTGGGAAAGCCTGATATTTCTTTCTGTAATCATAAACTACAGACATCAGATCAGGTTCAATTAAAGACCTGAAGCATAGTGTATAATAACATCGTTTAGTGGCATTTTGGTTTTCCAAACCATAACATTTAGTAACTATATAAACATATGATATTTTTCTTTTTAAATTTGTAGTGGTTTTGCTTTATAATTTCTGCAATTCTACAAGTTGGAAAAGGGTATTATACCAGAGCATAAATATTGTGCTTCCAGGCTTTGTGCTAAATTGCTTTATACAGTTCATACAATCCAGACTGTTACTTTGTTTTATTCCAGATAATTTCATGTACTTCAAGAAAAGAACAAAAACTGTAACCTTAAATTGTGGGAAATTTCAAGGGTACTGATCTTCAGCGAGGATAATTGGCATTTTGTTTTGCTCACATTCATTGTCAGAATGATTATGGTTGCCATACTGATATCTTAGGTGTTAGGAACAACAAATGAGGTGTAGAACTGGCTCTTAGAAGGTAAAACAGTCCTTCATGTTTCATAAATCCCTTCTTTATAAGGGGCTAGGACACCTATCACTTGATATATAAAACAGAAATACGGTAAGGACTCAATCAATTGTATGATAGGTTCAATTGGCTGAATTTCTTTCACAGTTCTCCAAAAAATTGTACCATAAAATAACAAATTCAGAAATATATTTATAGTTTTTAATTTGCTTATCATGTTGAGTATCAACTTGAAATGCTGTATTTTAGACCAATTAAGAAAAATAAGAGTCTGTGATTCATAAGATTTATATTAATAGACTCACTTGCTGAAAACACACTCTTTCACAGTAGCCACAAGCACATTGTCATTATCTAGTTTATGTTTTTCTGGACTGTATAAAATATTTTACATAAGCCTTTTTTTAATGAAATGCTAAATTAGGGTATTTAAAAGAATGAATATTGTAAACAGCCAGAACAGGTTGATTTCCTGTTAAAACTCTAGATTACATCTCTCGTTACATGTGTGTAAATTGAACATTTCAATTTATGCTTCTATGCCCTCTGTTAGTCAGCTTTCCATTACTACAGCAAATACCTAAGATAAATCAATTTAAAAAGAGAAATGGTTTATTTTGATTCACAGTTTTGGATGTTTCAGTCCCTGACTGTTCGAACCTGTTGCTTTTGGGCCTGTAGCAAGGCAGTTGATCATGGTAGGAAGCATGCTATAGAGCAAAAAGCCACTCATCTCATGTCTGGGATGTGGAGAAAGAAAGGAAGAAACTAGAGTCCCACAATCCCTTTCAAGGGCATGTGCCCAGGACCTAAAATTTCCCATTAGGCCCAAAGTCTTGAAGTTTCTACCACTTCACAATAGTGCCACAGGTTAAGGACCAAGATTTTAACACATGGACATTTGGAGGACATTTCAGATTCAAACTATAGCACCTTCTTACAGAAAAAAAATACTAGCAATTCTTTGATTTGTTGTTGTTGTTATCTTATCGATTTGACATACACAGGAAGGAAAAATCTTAGCTTTGTATTATTTCCTCAATATCAGTCTATCAAAACACAGTAACAAGATCTCTTAATAGTACATCTATAAATAAGTTAAAATTTTTGGACATTTCAGATTACTATCTAAGATGTTAGGAAGTACCTTAAAAGTTTGTACAACTGCCTTGTTTTTCTTGAAATGTTTTTCCTCATCAGAGATAATAAATTGTATATGGAACAGCATTTCACTTTTGGGAGCTGACTTTCTTATTATTATTCGTTGCCTTAAAAAGCCCATTTACAGATTAAATAAGTTTGTTGGGAATCTTCTTAGTCTACAGTGCCCAAGTAGCAGTTAGAGAAGTGAGGTGAGACTATGCAATCCCACAGACTCCTTACCTTAAAACTGACATAGAGGGGTTGGGGTTGTGGCTCCATGGTAGAGTGGTTGCCTAGCACATGTGAGGTACTGGGTTTGATTCTTAGCACCATATATAAATAAATGAATAAAATAAAGGTCCATCAACAACTAAAAATATAATTTTAAAAAACTGACATATTAAAATGGTTCCCTAGGGATAACTTCAAGGTCATTGAGAAGAGAGTCTAAAAAAACTAACTTCCTGGAAGGGCTGCTAAGAAAGGGATTAGAGCTCTCTCCATAGGTACATTCTTTTTTTGTTTCCTTTTCTTTCTTCTTCTTTTTTTTTTTTTTTTGTTGGCATTGCTAGGGATCAAACCGAGGGTTTCAGGCATACTAGAAAGTTGTTCTACCACTGAAGTACATCCCCATTCCCATAGGTGCATTCTTCTGATCACTGAGAAACTGATAAAAGGAGGATAAAATGTAAAGGAAAAAAAGAAAAGATTTTTAAAATATCTTTTTTTTTTCCTGTTAAATGAAGCTATTGAGCAGCTTTTGGGTGAAGTCATTAAACCTTTCCATTTTAATGTAGTATTGTCCCTGAGACAGTCTTGGAAGAACTCCCGCCAACTTCACCAGTTTATATAGAATCTAAGATGACAGTTACAGAAAACTTGGGGTTTTTTTCCTGAAATATTGAGAGCCTACTGTGTATCATACAGTTAAGCTCCCTGTTCTCACTGAATCTACATCCTAGAGGAGGAAGACAGAAACAAGTAACTTAATAAAAGGTTATTTCAGAAAATCTGATGATAAAAGAGAACTATGTAATAGTGATTAGATGGCAACAGTAGATAGTGATCTAGGAAAACCTCTTTTGAGAAGGATATTTGAGTTGTAACATGAATGAT